ACCAGTATATATACACATGCAGTAATTCTTTGGCAAAGCAATTCGAGGTTTGAAGTTTTCAGGGTCGCAGAGAGAGGTGATAAGGATCCACACATAAAGCAATAAATGTCAGCTTCCAATTACAACCCAAAAGGGGAGTGACTAAAGGGGAGTTCTCTGGTAGGGTCAACTAAAGGCTAAGATCAGTTAGGGAATCTAGGAATAGCCCCTGGCTGAGCAGGAGTTAAAACTTAATTTGCACAAGAAAGAAGCTTGGCGCCTATCATCTGCCTGGCCTTGAGGGCAATCTCCTTGGGTCAGTGGGAAGTAACCACCTTAACTCAGTAACTAGCAAGTGGCTAAAACATCATCCCAGGTATGTGAGCAGTAAATCTCTTAAATTAGGGTCTTGTGTAAATAACCCAGGGTGAACGTAAGGAGTTGAGGATTTAATTGTTAGTGGTTCTTTTCTCTTATCTGTAAGTGAGAGGAGCGAATGTTTATCTATGTGCAGTTTTGTCCTTGGAAAGAGGTATCTCTGCTGAAATACTTTTGTCTGGAGAATGGCCCTGGCTAGATACATGTTATGAAAAATCAACACAGCAGGAAACAGTTATCCAGTTACCCCAAATGTATAGGGAAAGTTGTGCCCAAGACTGAGATGCAGTCGTGAGATTACATGTACACATAACATGGAGATGCATGTTAAATGGGGAGAATCATAGCTGTTATTGCACAAGAAGTTTACAAGAGACAGCCAGTTCATTCAAAAGGCAGTAATTCCATAACGCCTTGCATGATGGTTTCCTCTAACAGAACCCTTAGTTCTGATAGGTTGATCTTCTGAACTCTAGTTGTCACTGCTGTATACTCCATGGACTTTTGCTACCAGCGGCTCTCAATACTTTTGTGCAGATTTCCCTGCAAACATGATGTCACTTTCTTGGTATACGGCCAACAGTGGGACAGTGTTGATGTCATTCTGGGTCGAGTTTTTAGGACCACCATTCTGTATTTTCACGTGGCTGCACTAATATATATTGCTACCATCTGTTTGTGTAAGTTTCTAACATTTTTTTATTTTGTATCATAAAAATAACGTTCTCTCTATAGTTCAGCGATAGGTCATTTTGGGAAAATCTCTTTCGTTTTTTTACTTGTAAACATATTTATATGCCATGTTTGGGAAATATCAATTGAGGTATTTGCTCAGATTTAATGAGCTCTTTCCTTTTCTGTGTTTAGTGAGTAAGATCCGTATATATTCTAGAAATTAACTGCTTGCTGAGTAAATACTTCGCCAGTATTTTCTCATTCTAGGCATGCACTAGTCATGACATTTAGTCTGATGTAATCTCATCTGGTGATTTTGCTTCTGTAGGCTGGATTGGCATATATTAAAAGACTCCACAAGCATCATTGTCCTGAGTTTTAGTTTCAGGTCTTAAATTTAATTCTATGATCCACTTTTAGTTGATTTCTGTCTATGGTATAAAAGGGTCTGGTCCCTTTCCATAGCATGTAAATACCCAGGTTTCATAGAATGATTTATTCAAGAGAACTTACTTTCTGACCGTAAGTTCTGAAGCCTTTGTTGAGAATCTGGTGACAACATGGGCTTGTCACCTTCTCAGCCCACTGACGCCATGGGGGAGGGAACTCGAAAGGAGGAAAGATGTGTTTTAGCTCCAGGAGGTCAGAGGTTTCTTTGGCATTCTTTTTTGGCCTTTTCACTTGGATCCTCTGTGGAGGAAGAGCCTTATAGCTGGGAACACACTGCAGAGCAGGACTTCTCAGCTCATTTCAGTAGGAGCAGAGATAGAGGCTGATACTTCAGTACCCATGCGAAGTATGTTCCAGTCAGCTCGTTTCCTTCTCTTGAGCGTTTCCTGCTAATTGCATGGCAGACCCGTGACCAGCACCTCCCCACCTGGTCTCTGAAGTCCATTTTTGATCCATACTAAGTATGCTTGGATTTTGCTTTGATCTTTAACTGTGTACAGAGTGTTGGATGCTTGTTCATTTCTATACGGAAGTACTGTGTCTCTGGTATGAGTCACACATGGTCATATTGTAATAGTTATGTCCTCATCTGCTCCATTTTCTATTCTGTAGAGATTATTTACATCTTTATTTGTTGGGGATATTAGATCTGTCATTCGCATCTAATTTGTGTCCATGTCTAGATTTGAAACCATTATAATAGCCAGTATGTAAAGTGACAGGTGAGAACCCAGCTGTTCCTGTAACATAGGTGTTCATTTAGGAGCAACTTTAGACTTCCTTCTTTGTGGTTTTAGGATTCTCTTTGTCTCGGAATTTTGCTAGTTTGGATGTAATGTGAGACAAAATGATTTGTTGGTCAAAATATATTAGGGTCCATTGGATACGCCTATCTATGTTTTTATTTTTATACCCATTCTCTTTTCTTCTGGAACACAAATAATGCAAATGTTTGTTTTCTTAAAAGGATCATGTTGCCAGGCAGTTGTAGTGCACACCTTTAATCCCAGCACTTGGGAGGCAGAGGTAGGCAGATCTCTGTGAGTTTGAGGCCAGCCTGGTCTACAAAGCAAGTTCCAGGAAAGGCGCAAAGCTATGCAGAGAAATCCTGTCTCGAAAAAGCAAAAAAAGAAAGCGGGGGTGGGGGGGTGGGGGGGGGTGTACCTTTTTTTTGGTTTTTTGAGACAGGGTTTCTCTGTGTAGCTTTGCGCCTTTCCTGGAACTCACTCTGTAGACCAGGTTGGCCTCGAACTCACAGAGATCCACCTGCCTCTGCCTCCCATCCCATGTAGCTAGAGTTTTCCTGCCTGGCCCACAGTCAGGACAAATCTCTCTCACCTGCCAGTCCCACAGCCGCCAGACCCGACCAAGTAAACACAGAGACTTATATTGCTTACAAACTGTATGGCCATGGCAGGCTTCTTGCTAACTGTTCTTACAGCTTAAATTAATCCATTTCCATTAATCTATACCTTGCCACATGGCTCGTGGCTTACCGGCATTTTCACATGCTGTTTGTCATCATGGCGGCTGGCAGTGTCTCTCTGACTCAGCCTTCCACTTCCCAGCTTTATTCTCCTCCTTGTCCCGCCTGTACTTCCTGCCTGGCCACGGACCAATCAGTGATTTATTTATTGACCAATCAGCAACACACTTAACATACAGATCATCCCACAGCACTTCCCCTTTTCTTTTTTCTTTTTTTCCAAAAAGGAAGGTTTTAACCTTAACAAAGTAAAATTACATATAATTTGGGAATTTGGGCCTAGCTTCTCTTACTACTTCCTGCTGGAGGGGGGCGCTGTATCTTATGGGGACACAAAGAAAATTTTAGGATTATGGAGTAGTCCATGAGGCTGTATTGTCTGAGCCAGTTGCCTTCAAACCATTCTGGATGTTGGATCATCTGGGCCATGGTGTCATCGGAGATCTTTCAGGGGGTCTTGGCTAGTCAAACCTGATGTATCTTAATCTGGAACAAATCCATAGCCTCTGGCTTTCTGTGGAAACAAAAGCAGAGTCTCCTTTCCAAAGCAACACATCCTTACATCCAAATTTTGAAGTCAAGGTATCTTTAAAATATACATATTGGTTTAACTCAAAATCTTTTACGATCAAATGTTTTTCTGCAATTAAAAATCCCAAAGACAACACAATCCAGATTCTCTGTGTAATATTCATCTTTACATGGCTTATTTTTTCTATTAATTTTACTGTCTCTTTAAAGACTTTTTCTTTTTAAACTATGTATTTGTTTATATAACTGTATATATCACCTTTTTTGTCTTTTTCAAGCCTACCTATATTTTACACACATTGTAAACTATTACATCTGAAACTGTCTTATTGTGAATCTATTGTTTTAAACTGCAGCAGCTGTGGCTGCTGGCTCTGCCCACCTCAGCTTCCCAACATGGCAGTGGTGGTACGTTTACCACCAGCTCTGGGAGCTATCGTGGGTCTATGCTTTTAGCCAAGCAGCGTGTAGCCCAAAAACCTCTTTTTTTGTCTTGTACTAGCAAAGGCTAAATCCACCATGCAGCTTAATGTGCCACTTGCAGAGGCCTCATTCCCGCCATACTGCAGGCCGAGTGCACACGCTAGGAACCCGCCAGTAGCTCAAACCGGCAGCTGCCGCTCATTTGAGAGAGACAACTAGGAACTGTTTTTAGCTCCGTTTTAGAATGTTTTTTCTCAGTTTTTAGGTGGAAACTCTTGCCACCACATTGGACGCCATTCACATTTCAGTACAAGTAAAATACCACCACAATCCCAAGTGCTGCTTTTTCCTTTTTTTTCATCAGTTGAGCTCTTCTCTCCCAAGTCTTCTGGGTGGTTCTTTTTTTAATGACTACATTATCTTTGTTTAACTTACCATAAATAGCAGACTATCCAGTTTCCTTGAGTTTTCTTCTTCATTGTTTGCTTGAAGTTTCCTTTGTTCCTTGGTGTTTGTTTGTTTGGTTTTTGGTGTGTGTATGTGTATGAATCTATGGAGCATGGTCATATAGGTATGTGGGTGTCCATGGAAGCCAGAGAAGGATGTCAGGCATTCTTCTCTGCTGCTCTCTGCCTTGTTCACCTGAGACAGTACCCTGCACTGAACCTGGAGCTCAGCTGGTAGCTAGCCATTCCCAGAAATACCCGTGTCCACCCTCTAAAGCCCTGGGTTTAAGGTGTGTGTGCAGCTCCGCCAGCGCTTTAAATGACTGCTGGGGACTGAACTCAGGTCCTCATCCTTCAGAGCAAGCCACTCTGCCACCATCCAGTCTTCCCTTTGAGGCTTCTTAAAATCGTGACTTAAATGTCAGTTGGGGACAACATTCCAATCAGTGGAGGGGTACAGTTCAGTTGACAGCATACTTTCCTACCATGTGCAAGGCCATAGGTTTAACTTCCAATCTATTAAAAAAGGAAGGAGGGAAGAAAGAAGTTTCTAATCATTCAACATTGCACAGTTCCATCAGTGGTCATGATTAGCACTTTGTCACAATCTGTCCATTATTTCTCATTCGCAGGGCACTGCATGACCAAACCTGAGTTGATCTTCAACTTAGAGCATGGGCTTGGGCCATGGAGCCCAGCAGACGCCTCCGTCTGGGACCTCTCAGGTCAGTGACTGCTGAAAAGCGAGAGAAGACAGGAGCACAGAGACCATCAGACGCTGTTCATACTGGGCTGTTCAGCAAGTTTCATCGAAACCCAGACTTGAGGACAGCTAGCCTCACGGACCACACACTTGTTTTATCCAGTTTCCCCCAAGTTCTGTGTGTTCAACTGCCAGTTTCTTGATGTTGAGGAATATCTTTTCTTTGTCCTGGGTCTTCAGTTGTGCCTCCTCCCTCCCTTTATTACCAGATGTTTTCAGTTAGGGGTTTATTGACATTATTTCAACACTGACTTTTGACCAGTGCTTGTCTTTGCAATTATCGTGATACTTAGTCACACACAAACGCATCTCCTCTTAAGATACTTGCATTTAGTGTGTGAAAAGTGAAGCAAAGGAATGGCGTATGGTGGGGAGATGAGCAGCAGAGGGAATGTTTATCAGGAGCAGAGGGAAGAGTACGGGGCTTCAGAGGGGAGAATATTAAAGAGTTTTTCATTTATTTCACTTTTACTTTGCGATGACTGTTTTCCAAATTTGCCATAAAATACACATGTGGATTTAAATTTGAGACTAGATAGAGAAGCTGATTGGAAATTGGTGCCAAGCAGGAGGTGGGTTCGGCTGTGGTTGTGTCCCTGTGGAGTTCTTAAGAAAAGTGAGAAAGAGGACATCAGAAGCTGCAGGGTTGAACGAGCGGTTCTTCCCAGGCCGTGTGACTCTGAAGTCAGAGTCACAAAGGTCAGTGTCTGGAGAGAAAACACTGAGCAATCACTCAAAAGCCGGGAGTATTCAGACAGATAGGTGAATGAAGTCAAGTGCCAGAGAGTGAGAACTTCGTCAGTAAAGTGCTTGCCTGCAAAGGCTACAGCCACAGTATCGGAATTAAAACATGGCTTGGTGGCCCATGCTTGTACACTTGGTGCTTTGGGGGTAGAGACAGGCAGATCCCTGGGCTCAGTGGCCAGCTGTCTCATAAATTGGTGAACCTCAGGTTCCACTGAGAGACCTTGTCTCAAACAAGGTAAACAATACCTGAGGTTCACCCTCTAAGCTCCCCATGTGTGTGCACGCATGTTCATACACACAAACACACTGCATGTGCACCCACGTGAACCACATGTACAAGGTCAATTTAACTCTTTCGTGGAGAATTCAGCTTCTTAGGTGAGAAATTCAGCAGAGTGATTCTGAAAAAAATATATACTCTCAGATCTTTGTAGTGGATGGGTTGAGGGGGTACTGGAGAGACACCATCCCACTGCCCAGGGAGCAGCATGTGATGGCACACAGGTAAAGCCACAGAACACATGGCGACATATAGATTAATAAAAATGTGCTGAGTTTAGTTATAAGAGCTAGCTAGCAAAAAAATTGAGCCATAGGCCATGGCCATGCAATTGTAATTGATACAGGCCTCTGTGTGTTTTCTTGGGTCTGAGTGGATGCAGGACTGGGCAGGGCACAGGAAAACTTCCAACTACAGATCTTGGCAGAGAAAAGCTAAATTAAAAACAAAAACAACGGCAACAAAAACACTCTTTGGAAAGTACACAGTGAGGAAGAAAGAATACCAGGAATTTGTTGGAAGACAACATTGAGCAATTGTAACAATTACATAGTAATAAGGGGAAAAAACAGAACAGATATATGTACTACTAGACTGAAGAGCTCTTGGGTAGTTTTATGAGATCTTCAATCTGTGAATCTTTTTTTTCCCCCCTTGGAGCTGAGGACTGAACCCAGGGCCTTGTGCTTGCTAGGCAAACGCTCTACCACTGAGATAAATTCCCAATCCCTCTGAATCTTTATTAAGCAGTGAATTGAGAGTAAGGTCAACAGAAAACGTATTTCATGAAATTAGTATAGAATATTGTACAAGTCTTGGCCAGGAGATAGGTGTCCAAATCTATGACATTTACAACCTCAAGTTGATAGACACTGAGAACAATTCCTCATTCTAGTTAAGACAACAAGAGGACAGAATATGGGCAAAATATTGAAAACTATAAGCAAAAAGTGTGGTTAGCTCGTTTTGTTTGGGTTTGGTTTTTGAGACAGGATCTCACTGTGTACCTCTGGCTGGTCTGGAACATTATGTAGATCAGGCTGGCCTTGAACTCACATAGATCCACATGCCCCTGCCTCCAGAATGCTGGCACTAAACACATGTGCCACCACACCCAGGTGGTTACTTTTGAATATATATAAGTCTACTATCATAGTTGACCTCTTAACAGAAACTCTGAGTTCTAGAAAGTATAGTCTTTGGTGTTTTAAGCCCTGAAAATACAAACTGCCAATCAAGATTATTCTATGAAGCAAAGTCTAAAATCAGATAATGTTATGAATTTCTGTGATAAGCATAAATGGAATAACTCCATGAATACTAAGCCACTATTACAGAAGAAATTTAAAACAAAGTAACAAAATTCTATTTGTAAAGGCAAGCCACAAGCAAAATATCTCATAAAAAATCATTCCCATAAAACCCTATGGAGGATCCTGCTGTTCTTTATTAAAGCAAATTACACTAATTGAAACAAAGTAACAATCTTTTCCCTACTCTATGGTGTACTAGGGAGAGAGAATGTTTAACAATACCTAAGGTAGCTAGTAGAAGAGAGTTTCCGTGTTTCATATATGAAAGAGGCATGGCGTTATACAGTCAGATAACAGATTTCAGGACAGGTAGAAGAGTGAAAGGTATAAAAACCCCGCAGCTGAGACGTGGTGGGTGTTTTATTGCCGTGTTCCAACAGTGCAACAGTGCAGCAGAGAACCGCATTACCTCTTAGTGTTTTTCCAGTTCATTAAAGACTAGGATGTGCACAGTTATAAGATGATATTTTAAAAGTTCAAACGTAAGCTGGGCGGCGGTGGTGCACTTGGGAGGCAGAAGCAAGCAAATCTCTGAGTTCAAGGCCAGCCTGGTCTACAGAGTGAATTCTAGGGCAGCCAGGGCTACACAGAGAAATCCTGTCTCTAAAAACAAGAACAGAAACAAAAAAGTTCAAATGTGATGATAAGAAGGCACTATTTTACTTTTGTGTTTGAATTGTATAGAGCTTGTGTCCAATTCATGATAACTGACAATTTTAATATTTTCAGGTGTCAACAAAATGAGTAGCCTGGTTGAGACCAGCCGGAAAAATGGAGACAGACATTTCTGGCAAATTGAAATCAACAGCAATACATCAAATGAAGAACTTGTTGAAGTAGGTAAAGCTGATGTGAGCACAAACTGTGTCTTGATTGGGCTCATTTTCTCTGACAGTAAAAGAATGGAAAGAAAAAAAAAAGGCAAGGCAGGAAGTATCGTAGGTGCAACAACCAGCTTCAAGGGAGCATCAGACAGATAACCGGTGAAGAAGGCTGTGACTAGGTTACTAGGGGTGAGGAAGCACAGCAGGCACACAGAGAAAGACCTCTGTAGAGCCAAGGGGGCCCCAGGAGCCTGAAATCCAGCCTCTTGTTGAGGACTTGGGGGTTCTAAGGGTGTTTGAGGGGTCTTGGTCCCCTAATTTAGGGTCGGTCCATTTAAACAAAGACCGAGTGGCCAATAGACCATAACTTTGGTGTGAACATGTACTGATACATCCTTGAACTTGTTGGCGATCCAGCACCAGGATACCCTGCTGGCAGAAGAAGCTCACCAGGCCTTTCTTTGAAGCTGCCAGGCTTTTATCTCAGGTCAGGAGTGTGAGGACGAAGCTGCTACTTTGGACGTTCACCATCTTATTACCTAGTTATGACCCTCTTCCTACCCGTCTACCCACTAGAGATCCAGTGCCAAGTCCCTCAAAACAATATTTCAACTTCAAACACGAAGAGTGGAAACTATTTTAGGAATGTTTCCTCAGGAATTTAATCTATGGCATGACAAAGTTCTCAATAGTGAACCTGGTGAGATGTAGGCTACAAAAGAATCTGACCATTTTAAAGTAATTGAAACCCTTCAGTTACCCTGCGCTTCTGAGTATCCATAATACAGTCAGTCATGTCATTTTGAATCAGGAAAAACCTGCAAAGTCAGTGTTATTAATACACAAGTTTTCATTTGCAGAGGAACTCTAATGAGCTCAATGAATATAGGAAATCCTTTGATGAGGCATGACTTATTCAAGTCATGGCACAGATTAGGATGCAAAATTTCTAATAGAATGTATGGAAGATAGCATTCCTTGACTAAACTCATTAAATGAAGTAAAGTAGATAGTAGAGAGAAGTATTTCAGTGTAGTAATTGTGAGAAATGTCATTCGGAAACCATGATAAGCAAAACATCATAGTAAATCCTATAAATTCTCCAAGTGAATATGAGGAATTTAACAAATTCTTCTGTCTTAAGGCAGAACTAAAGATTCATGAAGAGATCCACCGAGGGACAAAATCCTATGAATGTGAAGTATGTTTGGAAGCATTTTACCTGAAGTCACACTATAGCAAAAATCAGAGATATCACACATGCGAGAATCCATATGACTGTAAGGAGTGTAGACAAGCTTTCTATTCTAAGTCTACCTTCAGTCGATATCAGCGGCTCGAGAAAGGGGAGAAACCCCATGCATGTCTAGAATGTGGGAAGACCTTCTACTGCAAGTCACACCTCACTGTGCATCAGAGGACTCACACAGGCGAGAAGCCCTATGACTGTAAAGAATGCAGGAAAGCTTTCTACAGCAAGTCACAGCTCAATGTCCACCTGAGAATTCATACAGGGGAGAAGCCTTATGAATGTAAAGACTGTAGAAAAGCCTTCTACCGAAATTCTGACCTCACTGTGCATCAGAGGACTCACACAGGCGAGAAGCCCTATGAATGTAAAGTATGCAATAAAGCTTTCTACTGCAATTCACAGCTCACTGTCCATCACAGGACTCACACAGGTGAGAAGCCCTATGAATGTAAAGTATGCAATAAAGCTTTCTACTGCAAGTCACAACTCGCTGTCCATCACAGGACTCACACAGGTGAGAAGCCGTATGCATGTAAAGAATGCAGGAAGGCATTCCAGTGCAGGTCAGACCTCACTCGACATCGGAGAACTCATACTGGTGAGAGACCGTATGAATGTAACGAGTGCAGGAAAGCATTCTATCGCAAGTCAGACCTCACTGTCCATCAGAGGACTCATACAGGTGAGAAGCCCTATGAATGTAAAGAATGCAGGAAAGCTTTCTACTGTAACTCACAACTCACTGTACATCAAAGACATCACACAGGTGAGAAGCCTTATGAATGTAAAGACTGTGGGAAAGCCTTTCAGTGCAAGTATGAACTCACTCGACATCAGAGAACACACACAGGGGAGAAACCTTACGTATGTCTAGAATGCAAGAAAGCTTTCTATACCAAGTCAGATCTCACTCGGCATCTGAAAACACATGCAGGTGGCAAACCCTGAATATAAACAGTACAGAAAAGCTTGACACAAAAGTCAGGCCCTAACTGGCATCAGAGAACACACATAAAATCTTTTTACCATATAATTAGACCTTACTTAACATCAGTGAATTCATACAGATGCAAAAAACCCATGAAAATAAAGTGAGAAAGCTCCCTGCTTTAGCTCATTTCCATGTACAGACCAGTAAATTTAGGGAATGTGAGAAGACTTCATGTGGTTGAATCCCATGTGACATCATGTAGTATGTACAGGTGAATGGCCCTTCCAATATAAAGAATGCTAGAACACTTTTTTAAACCATAAAGTGCATCCAGTGGGCAGGAAAGCTCCTACAGGTAGACTTTATCAATATGTATAACACCAAAAACTTTGATACCTAAGTCAGACCTCAGCCTATATCAAAAACCTCATAAAGATGCATATACTGCATATACAGGAAGTGAGTTAGCCAGGTATAGGTTTTCATCCTGACCCATGTGGGTGATCTTGGCAGAGACTTATTTGGACTTGATGTTTAGCTGCATAGCAAGACACCAAACTAAAAGATTGGGAAAGCCAGGTGTGGTGGTGCACACCTTTAATCCTAGCACTCAGGAGGCAGCATCGTTGTGTGGATCACTGTGAGTTTGAGGCTAACCTGGTCAACATAGTGTGTTCTGGACCAGCTAGGGCTATATAGTGAAATCCTGTCACAAAAAAATGAGAAAATCTTAATGACAGTAGACGCCATATTGTTGTTAAACCATCAGAAAGGAAAGCATGACAGAAGCTTTTTAAATAGTACCTGAAACTCAACTGACATGAGAAACAACAAAATGATAATAAAGCACAAGAGCGTGATACAGGAGTATGGATGGGTACCATGTTTCATCTGGCTCTGCATCAGTATAAGAATTTCAGTATCAGCTGTATACACACATATTAGAAATCCCATCAGTCTACAGATTACAGACGCTCCCATGTTAGCAAGCATGACATCACTTGTGAAGGTGAGAACATGTTTGAATTTTTAAAATTGGTTGAACCTGGGATGTGGCTCAGTCACGGCGCACTTGTGAGGCACAGGCATTTCCTCTGTCATATTTGAGACTTCCTCCCTGTCACTCAGGTTTTCAGTGTTCATGCTCATGAGTCAGTTGTAGAAAGTAGAAGCAGTTGTGAAGGCACTGTAACAAACTGGCCATGCGTTACTGTGAGCACTGTCTGTGTGATCACACCTTTTCAGAGAAGGAGGTACACTATGCAGGCCAGGCTGACTTTGAATCCTTTGTGTCCTGGGCTCTTCTCATATTCATGATCATACTGCCTCGTGCTCTTGAGAGCTTGGATTAGAGGAATGGTCTTCCATGCAACCATGTATCCTTTTAATATGTGAAAAATTTTCAGTAAAAGTTCAACATTTTATATATCATAAATTTGGGGGAGAAAATTTCAGTTTATGTAACTTGCATGTTAATTTCCAGATGGAACTGTTCGATATGTTATTGGAAATCACACATTCAACTATATACTACCAAATAAACACAACAATATTTCCAGCCAGTGTATATTAAGCTTGTTCTTTGGGCATTTATTGTTCTCATAACTAGAGTTTGGTAGTAGTTAATGGATGTAGTAGACAAAGACCAGCAATGCTGATAAACATCTGGTGGTACACAATTACTTCTCACAACATACATTTTTTTTTTCTGTATGTTAGTATTTTGTGTTAAAACTTTGCCTGTTGAATATTCAGCATAACAGTGTAGGAAATACGTATACTTTGTATAAGAAATATTTAAGAAGGAAAATTGAAGTGGTAGAATACATGCCTTTGTATGTATGTAGTCTTGATTGGAATTTTCAATATACATAAGTAAGATAGATAGATGGATGGATGGATGGATAGATAGATAGATAGATAGATAGATAGATAGATAGATGATGGGTGGGTGGGTGGGTGGGTGGATGGATGGATGGATAGATAGATAGATATTGTGACTTACTCTGTTGATTGTCTTTTTTTTTTTTTTTTTAAGATTTATTTTATTTATTATGTATACAGCATGTATGACTGCAGGCCAGAAGAGGGCACCAGATCTCATGACAGAAGGTTGTGAGCCACCATGTGGTTGCTGGGAATTGAACTCAGGACCTCTGGAAGAGCAGCCGGTGCTCCCAACCTCTGAGCCATCTCTCCAGCCCCTGATTGTCTTTTTGTTACTGTGATTAACTGTCACCAGAAACAAATTAAGATGGAAGTAGTTGTTTTGGATTGTGGTTTCAAAGGATTTTGTTAATGGTTACTTTGCCAAAGACCAATGTGAAGAACATTATGGTGACAGGTAGGTGTGGTAGAAGAGTTTCCTCACATCATGACAGGAAATGGACCAAAACCAGACCATATACAATTTTACATCTTCCATGGCATGACCCTACTGACATAAATTCAACTTAACACTGTCTCCTAAAGTTTGTATCATCTCCAAAACCAATGTCCACATTGGAGTTCAAGTTCCACGGGAGAAATTTCATGTCAAAACCAAAATACACTAAAAATATCCACCTTTAAAAAAATTCCATTCTGTTTCTAAATCTTTAAAAATGGTGCCCTTTACATTTTATATGTCTTTTTTATTCTTTCATAGCTAAATGTTATAAAACTATCCCATAAGTGAGAGTAAGAATTTATTTTTAACGTGTTAACAAAACCAAGCCAGTGTGACTAACAGAGCAATTTTTTAACTGTTAAATTTTTTTAAATGAAAATAGTTTTCTTAAGCATACAATATATGTAGATTATAGTTCCCACTCCCCAACTCCTCCCATCCTCCCAAATCCACATCCTTTCCTGCTCTCTCACTAGAAAACAAACAGGCATCTTTAAAAGTGAAAAAATAATAAAGTTAAAATAAAAACAAACTTGAATAGGAGAACAAATGAGCGTAAAACCAGCCAAAGAAAGAGCACAAGAAACACATGTAGCTGCCGAGATACACACGTTGGCACACACCAAAATCCCCTGACTTAGTTCCCAGCTGTCAACTCAGTTAAAATTGTTTCTCATTTCATCCTGTTGAATGGAATGCTGACTCTGCAGATACTCCCCTCTGTTTCTTACTCCTTGTGTGTTTAAGTACCACAAAAGCCATGTTAAAAGTAATTTACCAATGTTGTATCCTGAAGATCATATATATTTCCTTCCCTAGTGGAGACCTGCCAAGTGGCCCTTGAACACAAGAGGTGAAATGTCATGTTGATATAAAATTTTTCAAAATGGTATATTCTGGTCCTAAGTGATATTATATGGCATGCGTATGTATGCGTATATGAGACATAATCCCTAATGTTTCTAAAGAGGTTTATATTTTAAAGAAGGCATCATTAAATGTGTCCTTAGATGTGGTAACTTAGTTGAAATGCATTGGATATTAAACGTTATATGGAGGGGTTGGGGATTTAGCTCAGTGGTAGAGTGCTTGCCTAGCAAGCACAAGGCCCTGGGTTTGGTCCTCAGCTCTGGAAAAAAAAAAAAAGACAAAAACAAAAAACAACCATTTGGGGGTGGATTGGCCTTGAGGGATGTGACATCATGTGGGGTGGACTCTGTTAACATGACATACCACTGGTTACTTTAAACCTGATCACTAATGACAAAGCAATGTTGCTCAGATTTCTCTCTTTGCCGGGCGGTGGTGGCGCACGCCTTTAATCCCAGCACTGGAGGCAGAGGCAGGTGGATCTCTGTGAGTTCGAGGCCAGCCTGGGCTACAGAGTGAGTTCCAGGAAAGCCACAAAGCTACACAGAGAAACCCTGTCTTGAAACTCCGCCCCCCCCCCAAAAAAAAGTTATATGGAAACCATGTGCAGCAGTGATGGTGACCATTGTAATTTACAAAATTACTCTTATTTCCAAGGCTGGAGTGCCTTAGGATATTTATCTATGAAAACAAAAAGTTCTCACTTTGTTGGTCTTAGCTTGGTGGTGTCACCCAGGTCTACATGAAGTTATTTGGGGATTTATCTGATTGAATCTTTATGTCTATATCATGCTGCTATTTCCTCTAAAGACCTTTCAGGACTATGTAAGTATGTCTATAGATATACTGGTATAGTTCTTCAGCAAGTGTGGGAATATGTCCAAAAAGAAAGACACAGCAGAAATACCTGGTTAGAACGTGTGTGTGTGTGTGTGTGTGTGTGTGTGTGTGTGTGTGTGTGTGTGTTAGTGGGTTGGATATTATGCCCTCGTGTGTGTGTGTGTGTGTGTGTGTGTGTGTGTGTGTGTGTGTGAGTGTGTCAGTGGGTTGGATATTATGCCCTCCTGTGAAGTGTCTGAGATTGTCAGGGAGGAGAATGGTGATTGAAGGTCTAGTGACCTCATGCATTAGTTACGTTTGTTGTGATAAGACACCATGACTAAGGCAATTTGTGGAGGAAATTGTTTATTTCAGCTTAGCATCTGTTATGTCAGGGTAGAATAGCATGGCAGCTGGAATGGGATGCTGAAAGCTCACATCTTGAACTGCAGACACGAAGCAGAGTGAGCAAACCGGAAATGGTGAAAGTCTCTCTCAAAGCCTGCCTCCAGTGACACACTTCCTTCAACAAGGTCACACTTCCTAAACCCTCCCCCAAACAGTGCTACCAACTGGGTACCAAGTGTTCAAATACATGAGCCTTTGGAGGACATTCTCATCACCACACGTCCATTGCATGAACTTTATGCTTGAGGACACATAGGAAGTGCATTAGCTGCCTAATTGTATGAAGGTATACCATTATGCCAACTCCAGACAGCATTCTGTTACTGTCCTGTAACACTGATGCTTTAGGAGACAGTCCTGAAACTTCTGTCCCCCAACTCCAGACAGCTCCGAGGCTCTGGGGACTGCGATATCACACCTGCCAAATGTTGTTAATTGCACATAAATCTCTAATGCAAAGATGTGTAGAAATGCATGATACAGAAGTAGCATCTATTTTACTGAAAAACAGTAAACACAAACTAGTTCATGCTTAATTGAGAGTTAATTGTAGAGCAAAAAAAAATGTATTCAACGCATAATGTATAAGGACAATATTAAACTACTATGGTGATATAATTCTATTCATAACTCAGTGAATATATACCTGTATACACCTCTATACAGTAAAAAAAAATCACAAAAAAACAAAGGAAGGATAAGGTATAGAAAGTAGGAATAAAAAGTGAGAATGTGGATTGAAGTAACCAATGGCTACAGATCACCTTGAGCTGGGCAGAATGGTGTCTTGACTTATGATGTAATGTGACATGCAATGGAATGAATGAACAGCATATTTGTTTTCTTTTTTGAGGAATTTTCAGGGAAATGAAGAAATCCTTATGAAGGAATTTCCAAGCTCCTCCTCACCAGCACTGCTCACAATCAGACTCTCATTCAGAACACAATAAAAACACAGACATCTATGCAGTATTACCGTAGCCAAGGGTATGAAACACATAAAGGCTTGTACCCTGGCTCCAGCAAACTTGTAGGTTCTAATCAGGTAAACATGTGGGTAATGTGAGGAGAGGTATAAGAAGTAGTTGAAATGAGATGGGGTATGTGTAGGTCAAACCAAATTACATGAATTTTTTTCAATGTGAATAAAGTTATGTTCAAATAGTTTGAACAGAAAAGAATGGATGCCCTTAGTGTCTTATTGTTGTTGCTAAGTGTCAAGATTGTATTTCATTATATCTCATAAGTTTCTTCTATTGGTGTAAATGTCGACATGCCAGACTGGTTCAGTGTCAACATTTGTGAGGCAGTGTGACATTGAAAAGACATTTGTAAGGCTGTGACATTGAAAAGACATTGTAAGGTGATGTGACATTGAAGACACTTGAAGAACCTGACAGCTTGAAAGACAACTAAGAGGGCAGGAGAGGGCTCTGTGGTTAGGAGCACTTGTTGCTCTTGCAGAGGATATGGGTTTGGTTCCCAGCACTTGTATGTCAGTCAACAGCCATCTATAACTCTAGTGCCAGGGGATCCAACACCCTCTTCTGGCCTCTGTGGGCACCAGGCATGCATGTGGTAGTATCCATATACACACGCAGGCAAAACACTGATACATATAAAATAAAAATAAAACTTTTCAAAAATCAGGAAACCCAAGGAGCTACTAACAAAAACAAACTCTGGAACTACCCACCCACTGTGCCTACCTGAAACCATGTGGATTCCTAACCAGAGTCTCAACCAGAGCTCTTGGTAGGAACCCACAGAACCCGCCTGTCTGTTAAACACCCCACCCAGCCCTGGGCTCCAAGACCACATGAAGCCCAGCCTGGAACCAGATAATAAACCCGAGACTGAAAATTAAACATTATTCATTTGGTCCACAGTAGGGGGAATAGCAAACAATTATCCACAGTTCCGATGAAGGCAAGACCAGATATCCATGCCAATAAGTGTCACCAATGACCCACCTCCAGCAGCTAGATCCCATCACAAAAACACAAACAACATGAATGACCGATGTCTTTTCCAGAAACTAGCACCTCCAACATTATATTACCTGAGAAAACAACTCAGCTGATGCACTATAAACCAATGACTTCAAAATGGGAATTATCAATATGTTCAAGGAATTCAATGAGGATGTTCAATGAGGGTATTGAATGAAGACTGCAAAAACACAAACAGTTGAATGACATAATTAAAACCATTCAAGACATGAAAGTAGTTTCACAAAGAACTGGAATCTTTGAAGAAAAACTAAGCAATTAAAACTGGAAATGAAAAACTCAGAAAGTTAAGCAAAAATCTCAGTGGAAAGCCTTACAACAGGTTGGGTTGAGTGGAAGAGAGGACTTCAAGTCATGAAGACAAGGTAGATGAGATAGATCACTCAGTCAAAGGAAGTAAGAGATTAAAAACAACCACAAATTCCTACAGGTGACAAATACATTCAGCAAAGTAGCAGGATACAAATGTTAACCCACAACAATCAGTAACCTCCCATATAACAACAACAAAAATACACAGAAATCAACAATATCATTTTCACACTAGCTTGAACAACTGTCTCGGAATAAATCCAAAGTGAAAAGACTTGTATAATAAAAGCTTTGGGACATGGAGAAAAAGGTGAAGAAGATACCAAAGATACAAACACCCATGCTCATGCATTGGTAGGACTAGTATTGTGAAAAGGCCATTCTACCAAAAGCAATCTACAGATTCAACACAATTCTCATCCAATTCCAATCCAATTCTTCACATAAATTGAAAGATGACCAGAAACGTCATATGGAAACACAAAAAGAAACCAGGATAGCCAAAACAATCCTGAACAATTAAAAAAAGAAAAAAAGCCTCTGGAGGGATCAATATTCCTGATTGTAAGTTATACTACAGAGCTATAGGAAAACAGCATGCTGTTGGATAAAAACAGGCACCTTGATCAATGGAATGGAACTGAAGACCAGACGTGTGCATACACTTACAGACACCTGGTATTTGACAAAAAGGTCAAAACGTGCACACTGGAGAAAAGACAACATCTTCAGCAAATAGTGCTGGTGGGACTGGGTGAGTGCAGGAAGACTGAAACTAGATTCTTACCTCTCACACTCACTGACCGAAACTTCAACGTAAGACCTGATACCCGAATCCAACAGGGGAGGGAATAGGGAATACAACTGAATATAGGAAAGGAGTTTCTAAACAGGACCCCAATAGTATAGACATTAAGACCAACAACTGACAAATGGGACCACATGAAACAAAAAGGCTTCTGTACAGAAAGGACAGCATCATTCCAGTCCACAGGCAGCCTACAGAATGGAAAAATCTTTACCAGCTCTCCATCTGACAGACGGTTCAATCTTAGAATATACAAAGAGCTCAAAAAAAAAAAAAAAAGAACACCAAGAAATCATGCAACCAAATTTAAAAATGGGGCATGGATCTAAACAGTGTCAAAAGATGAAACACAAGTGGATGAGAGTTTTTTTTAAATGTTCATTACCCTTAGCCATCAGCGAAATGCAAATTAAACCTACTTTGAGATTTCATCTTACCCAGTAGGAATGGCCAAGACCAAAGAAAATTTTTAAACGACAGCAGATACTGACAAGGATGTGGGGAAAGGAGGCGACTTCGTCACTGCTGATGGAAGTAAACTAGTGTAGGAAATCAGTGTAAAGGATCCTCAAAAACTGAAAATACATCTACCACACATTCTAGCTGCCACTCTTGGGCATAGATTCAAAGGATTCTATGTATTGTTACAGAGATACATGCTCATCCATGAGCAATGGTGCTGCTCTATTCCCCCAGATATTAGACACAGCCCAGATGTCCATCTACTGATTGAATGGATAACGAAAATGTGGTATATTTACACAATAGAATATTATTCAGCTGTTAAGAAAAATCATTAAATCCACAGGTAGGTGGATGGAACTGGAAACGGTCATCTTGAGTGAGGAAACCCAGACCCAGAAAGATAGACACTGCATGTTTTCTCTCATATGTTAGCTTTTAAAAATAAATGTGTGTTTCCTTTGAAATACCTATAGAAGTTAAGTGGCTAGTAAGGTGCCGTGGGGGAGAAGAGATTCTTTCAAGAGAAGGGAGATAGAATACAGGGTTCCATCCAGAGATGGAACAGGAGGATTACATCGGATGGAGCATGAGAGGGCAAAGCAGTGTAGGAAAGATGGGGCGGGGTAACTAACACTAAAGGCCTTAGAAAAAGCCACTGTGTAGATAAGCTTCCTAAAACACACACACACACACACACACACACACACACACACACACACACACACACACACATATACACACACACAATTTAAATTGCTTTTGTGTAGTTCTGTGTCATGCTAATTGTTGCTGGCACGTGTATAGAGAGAGCCTCATAATCTATGTAAACCTTCTAAAGATCAATAGGTATTAAATAATATATCTGCATATAATTACTTAATTTTCAAAACGACTTTACTCTTGTCCAATGTGATTTTCAAAAGCCTTATGATTAAATTGCTGCAGCAGTTTATAACTAAGTTCTGTAAAGCATTTGTAAGAGTAGGACAAGCAGAGTGGACTCCAGTGCCCTAGCTAAGAGACACTACTGTATCTCATACGCTTAAACTGGGCCTAAGGGATTTACCGGCTCTAATTCCTCGATGTCTGTCACTTACCCCTCCCCAACCAGACTGAATCTTTCCCTGGCATCCTGGGACAGAGGAGAACAAACCGCCAGATGGTCCATCAGCAATGTCTTCAGAGAATATTGCTCAGAGACGGGGTGGGAGGTGGGGGTGTCAGAACCAAAATAAAACCATACTGACATGGTGCATTTGCTTGTAATCCCGGCACTTGTGAAGCTGAAACAGGAGGATTGTAAGTTTGAGGCTACAGCATAGCCTTCATAATGAGACCTTTTCTCAAACCAGCAAGATGGAGTTGCTTATGTCCACCCTTCCAAAGGAAATCAGAAGACAAGAGATTATAAAAAAAAAAAATTATTACTGATGGTTCCTGGTGCTAACTAAACATGTTCTAGCCTCATTCCCTACTTACATTCTATTTATTTTATTTACATATTTGCTTCAGACATTGACGGGTTCCACCTCAAGACTGGGGCATTAAACCAGCAAGTGCAGAAACGTAACCAGCCTGGCAGAACATATTCTCTTCCTCATTTTTTTAAACATTCTGTTAGCTCCTTTGATAATGGAGTTTGTGTAACTGGTGGAAATTCCACATCATTTATTATCAGAAAAAGTGAAATGTTTTCATTTATAGTCTATCTACCAAGAATCATTAAGACTTAAAACACTTAACACTCGATCATTTACAGTATTGAACTGTAGAGGTGCCCCAAAACAGCTTGACCACACAGCTGCCATGACAGGCTTAGAGGCCCAGACACAGCTTCTGGAAGATCCCACCTAGTGGGGCCTGTGTCTAAGGGGAAATACCTAAGGCCCAGACACAGCTTCTGACAGGCAACACCTGGACCCAGGAAGAGCCATAAGCTGATCCTGCCAGTGGGGCCTGAATCTAAGAGGAAATACCTGACATTCCAAACATTCCCTGTACCTCTAGACAAACGTGAACCAATCACGGTCCTGAACCCTGGAAATCCCCTTACCCTCAACCTCTGTTATGATAAAAAAAATTTTTAAATGAAAATAAAAATAAAAAAAAAACCCACACTGCCTGGACTCTGGGCTCTCTGCTCTTACCAAGAGCATAAGACAGACAGAGACCAAGGTCAGAACTTGAAGATAATAATGGCTTTTACATGTGGGATTTGGTCTCTGTGGTAGTCTTTTGGGGGTCCCCGCAGTCTGGGCATAACAGAACAATGCTGTATGTGCTTAAACTTTATCTCAAAGCATGTTTATTTCATACTATATGGATGTCTATTTTTATGAATCATAAAGATGACTTTTATAAAGACATCCTCAACCAGTTTACCTCCATCTAAGGCTTGGAAGCCATCTCATAGCAAAGACAAACTAGGTTCATTTCTGTTTGTGATTAAATCTGTTTCTCAAGGATTGGACTATGCCCCACCTGTCACCTTAACTACAAATGGTTCTGTACTGCCTGTTCCAGGAAACGGGGTGTCGAATCCGTGGGATTAACAGTGGCGTACACCCTTAATCCCAGCGCTAGGAAGGCAGAGGCAGGCAGATCTCTGTGAGTTCGAGGCCAGCCTGGTCTACATAGTAAGTTCCAGAACAGGCAGGGCTACATAGAAAGACCCTATTTCGGGAGAGAGGGGAGGGGAGTCACTATACTATTTCCATTTATAAATACATATTAGGTAACATAACCTTCCGACAAGGTTCAATGTAAATGCACTGGTTTCTCTGCAGGAAGCCCTGCCGTAAAATACTCGCAGTCTTTTTAAATTCCCCTCTGGTTGGTGACGTTTACTGTCGCTTAGGGTCTCCCAGCCCCGTGGTGACGAAGGTCCAATCAAACACACAGGCCGGAGCAGGGCGGGCTTGCAGCCCTGCGCAGCCCCGGGTCTAAGCGCACCTGAGCCACCTGTCGCCATCTTGGGTCCTGTCCCGGTTCCCTCCCCGCTCACAAGTCCCGGGACGTGTCGCCGCGTGACACCTCCCCCCTCAGAACCACAGTGAGGACTCTGGGCGTCCGGAATCTGGAAATGGTGAGTCTGTGGCAGGTGGTCCCCAGGCCCGCGTCCTGCGGGCACCCCGGGCGTCCTGGGGGTCCCCGGCCCCTGCGCGGGGACTCTCCGCTGGCCCTGGGCGTGCGCGGTGCTGGACGGAAGGGAAGCGGTAACCGGTGTCTGGACCCTGCCCCAGCCTCCCATCCCTGTCCCCCTGGCTGCCGCCGTCCAATTCCCGAGACTCCATCCATCCATATCTAGGGTTTTGGGTGTTCAACTTGGTGCCAAGACGACCTCCTCTCTGTCCCTGGGACGCCAGGCTCGATCTGTCTCCCAGGTACCTGGAACCCCATCTATTTGTGTCACGAGCTCTATCTCTCGGCTCCGGTGACCTTAAGTGGTCCCTCGGTGGTAAAGCGCCCCTGGCCCGGGCATACCATGCGTGTTGCTGCGGCTGGATAGGTGTCCAGGGGTGCCGCCGGGGTGGTGGGACCCACAGGATGGACGCGGGGAGCATCGCTGTGGTGTTATGCCTGGTGAGCAGATCAGGGACCATAGCAACCAAAGAGCATGGAGTGGCCTCTGGAGATTGGTTTTGCCAGACTGCTAAACCAAGGTATTTTTTGTTGTTTTTTCGAGACTGGGTTTCTCTTTGTAGTTTTGGAGCCTGTCCTGGATCTCGCTCTATAGACCAGGCTGGCCTCGAACTCACAGAGATCCGCCTGGCTCTGCCTCCCGAGTGCTGGGATTAAAGGCGTGCGCCACGGCCACCGGCTAACCAAAGGTATTTTTATCAGCCTCTCCTCCCTGGGGACCAGCTCTCCAGTCCAGGCTTTTACATACTCCCTCACCTTGTGCCTGCGTAAACTAAGCCAGGGCTTGCGTCTCTGGCCCTCTCATTTTCTGTGATCTGTTTTCTGAATCTTTGGATCAGCTGTGTGCTGATCTGAATCCTGACATTCGAGTGTCACTTGGCTTTGTCTCTTGTCAGGAGGCCGGCCATCCTACCCTAGGTTTTCTGGGTCTCTCACAGTCTCTTCCACACAAGGGCATTTTCTTGAGGTTGTGAGGCTGCTAAAGATTGTAATCCTGATTCCCACTTCTTTTTTGGTTTTTCGAGACAGGGTTTCTCTGTGTAGCTTTGGTGCCTGTCCTGGATCGCGCTCTGTAGACCAGGCTGGCCTCGAACTCACAGAGATCCACCTGGCTCTGCTTCCCGAGTGCTGGGATGAAAGGCATGCGCCACCACCACCCAGCTTGATTCCCACCTCTTACTGGGTAACTTGACTAGCCACTTAGCCATTTCGAGTCATTTATGCATGTGTGGCACATGATAGGTAAGTGTCTGCCACCGAGGCTGCATGCTAGCTCATTCTGAAATTCTTTTCTGTGCCAAAATCCATGACCCTGGCTTCACCTGTGTAGAATTCTCTGAAGAAATAAAAACAAACAAAAAACGAAATTGCTTGGGGTAGGAGAGACAGAGAAGGCGGAGCTTAGGCCTTGGGACCCAGTGAGGACCTCATGGAAGAAGAAAAGGAAGTCAGGAGTTAGGCCTACCCTGTGGTAGTCCCCCTTTCCTAGAATGTTCTCCAGTACCTGGAATGGAGACTATGGAACCAAGACGGCCTGCTCTCTCCTGCGTCACTTTTTTCCCACAGGCCTTCTCTTTATTCCCGAGCCTTCCAAATGTGCGGAGAGCAGGGTTTCACACCCAGAACCCTGACGAACCCCATCAGTTGCTCCGAGGTCTGGCAACCAATTGCTAAAATCCAACCTCCATGCAAGCATCCCCTGTATCAACTTCTCCGTTCCACAGCCAGATCAGCTCTTTATTCATCATGATATATTCAAACGGACAATATTTTGTCATTTTCTCTGAGTCCTGGAGCAATGGTATTTTTAAGAATGAAAGTCTGGGCTGGGCGGTGGTGGCACACACCTTTAATCCCAGCACTCGGGAGGCAGAGCCAGGCAGATCTCTGTGAGTTCGAGGCCAGCCTGGGCTACAGAGTGAGTTCCAGGAAAGGCGCAAAGCTACACAAAGAAACCCTGTCTTGAAAAACCAAAATGGAAAAAAAAATAAATAAATAAAAGAATGAAAGTCTTATTGTAAACGTTTCAAGAAGATTCACTTGACCCCCTGAAAACCATGTTTGTGCCTTTCCTCTCTTGTCTAGACTCAGACACACAATCAGTGTGCCTTTGGATGGAGTTGACCCTTAGAAGTCGCACAGGGTGGTGTGTTCCCATTCCAAACTCTGCACTTCCTGGCCTCAAGTGTCAGAATGGCCTGACATTAAATGCCCAAGTGGCCCTGCCTCTGCTCTCTTGGGTGCCTAGTGAAAAGCCCCTGGTTATGTCAACAGCAGCCTGAGGTGGGGATGGAGCCCCTAAGAGGGGCAGCTGAGTTCCCTGCAGCTGGGAAGAATGTCATTCTGTATCCCATCTAAGAAGCACTTCCATTTTCCATGACTGACCTGTGTCACGGTGAACACATGGGAAGCCTTTTCCTGCTGTGTAGCCCTGGTGAGCATAGTACTCACGCAGAGTGGGCTAGCCTCAAACTCACAGAAATCTGCCTGCTTCTTCCTCTGCCTTGCCAGTGCTGGGATAAAAGGCACAGACCACCACACCCAGCTAAAAGTCTTGTTTTTGTTTTTTGAGACCGGTTCTTATGTACTCCAGTTTATGTAGCTGAGGGTGGCCATGATCTTCTAATCCTCATCCATTAAGCCATTTTTTGACATTCAGATTTCAGCTCCTTCAGATCCATCCCAACAGTAGTGACTGCTGGGTCCCTCCTTAGTTCTCTGTTTAAGGTTTTTAAAGAACTGCAATGTCAATTTATAAAATGGTTTTACTAATTTTCTTTCATATTAAGAACAGAATACAAGGATTCTTTTGGCATGCCCATTTCCTGTCAGCACTTGTAATTTGTCTTTTTCTTTTTTTTATAACTGTTTTTATAATTTAGAGTGCAGGCATCCTGCTATTTGATGCATTTGATATCTGTTGTGAGTCTGTTAGAATTCAAGCTGTCAAAAGCCACTGGAGGAGAGCACTCAAGTGTTGTCGGTGAATGGACAGAGTTCTACATTTTTCTCCTTTTTAATTACTTTACCCTGGAAGTAGTTAAGTGCTCCTGTGTTCTTAGATCCAGGGAGACTTGCCGTGCCCAGATGCCTTTGTTTTTCTGTATTCAATAAACTGAGGTCCTCGGCACCTGGGCCAAATGGAAGATTGCGGAGGACTGGGAGCCTTCATCGGGGAATCACAGGTGGAGCTTTCTGTGTGCAGTCCTTTGGAACACTCTGTCCATGTTTCCTGAAATCTTGACATTAACAGATATTTGGATTGATTTCTTTCTCCCATGAAACAAATCAAATGTCACCTGCTATGAGACCCACACACAGAACAGAGTGAACCCCCACCTCCTGTTTCAAAAGCTGAAGACTTGGGTTGAAGAGAAATGTGTCATTACAGGGGCTGGTGTCATTTGAGGACGTAGCCGTGGACTTCACCTGGGAGGAGTGGCAGGGCCTGGATGCTGCCCAGAGGACCCTCTACAAGGACGTGATGCTGGAGAACTACAGCAGCCTGCTGTCCCTGGGTGAGTGGCTCCTCTAGAAAGCTCAGAAACACTTGCTTTCTTTCTTCAGTTGGTAAGGTCGGAATCATTGCTCATTTAATACTAATTCTATATTACACATTTTAGTAGACACATGGTAATAACACATGTTTTTGAGAACAGCAGTTTTACAGTGCGCTTACGTCATTTCTAATGAACGTGAGAGATAAGTTTATCAGCTCGGGCATTACTTCTTTCTCTTGTGGACATTTGAAATTTATCTGATAAATATTTTGAAGGGTTTAATTGCTTTCGGTCATATTTGCCATTCTGTAGAACGTAAGTTACTCATCACGTCCATGCACATCTCAGCAAATATCACTCATCCTTTCTCCATCCCCATCATGCATTTCTCCATACTCGAGAGAAACTCTGTTTTCAATCTCTACTTCTTCGCAATGACCTTTATCTTGGAGTTTGGATAACAGAAAGGCATCTGGGTGTGTGTGTGTGTGTGTGTGTGTGTGTGTGTGTGTGTGTGTGTGTGTGTGAACATGTGTGCCTGCACATTTCACTCATGTCTTTGACTTTTCTGGGAAACGTCCACTCACTACAAACACGGAGCCCCACTGTTGGGGTTATTGGGGTGTTTGGTGTCCTTACACGTTATGGAAATTAATGTCTTGTTATAAGTCGTTTGACAGTGTTTTCTTCTTCTGTAAGTTGATTTCTTCTACTAATTGTTGCTTTTCTCTGTAGGTGGTTTGGAGACTGATGTCTCGAGTGTTGATTCTCACTTCTGTTCCCGTTCTCCACATGTATTAAAACGCTGATGCTGCCCGTATATTCTAGGAACTTCGTGGTTTTCATTCATTTTACTTTTAGTTGACTTCTATGGTGGCAATGAAGCATCCATTACCTTTCTCTACTTAGCTGCTGGATGCCTTCGTTTCTTAGCACAATTGACACATGAGAACTTCCCTTGTGAATGTGAGTTCTCGAGACTTGTTGAAAATCAGTCGGTGATGGTTAGTGGTCCATCGCACTGACAAAACACCGGAGACAGGTATTTTAAAAGGAGGAACAATTTGCCTTTGCTTGTGGTTTTGTTTTTAGTTGATTTATTTTAGAGTTACAGATGCATCTTTATTTAAAAATCTGAACTACCTATTTAGCGTTTTCCACTAACTAGGGGAGCAAAGACCTTTCACAGGCTCGGGCTCTTTTGCTTGCTTGGCTGCTGTTCTTGTGTGGGCTTGTGCCAGCTTGGCCCTTTTAGCTTCCTTGGCAGCCTGATAGTGGCTATCACTGAACTTTCTTTCCTCTTAGCCCTGACATCAGCAAGAGACCCGCCAGTGACGGCTGCGGGGATTTGTGGGTTTTTTTTTTTTTTTCTTTTTTTTAGAGAGAGAGAGAGGACAGCGTAACTTACCTGGTCAGAAATTTCTCAGAAAGGAACTCGGGGTTGCATTTTGCACTAAGAGACACGAGAGAGTCCCGGTGTGCTGTGGTAGATTTTGGGCTAGTTGAAAGATGGCGAGGAGCTTGGAAGAACACTGTGGCAGCATATGACGCTGCAAAAATTGCTCACTCCACTGCAGCCAGGAAGTAGAGTGGAGCTGACGTCCCTTCTAGCGTGGTTCCCCATGACATCGTTTCCTACCGATGGATTCTCTCCACTAACCTCTCCGGAAAACGGAGACCGAGTCTTTAACACCCAGTCTTTGGAGGGCATTTTAGGTCCAAAGCATAACGCTAACTCTGCAAGGTTCTCTATTTAGACAGCCCAGTGTGTTCCGTCTATTTACATGGTCCTCCTTATACCAGGACCTCGTCCTTTCGGTTCCTATCTTTGTGCAGCACTTTGAAGGCTAGTATCGCAAGGACTTTAAGTCGGTTGTGAACAAGGTTGTTTTCACAGTTAGCCTTTGGTCCTTAGCGTGTGTTGTTTGAGACGTTAAGATATTGTTTAGGACATCCTTTTCTATTCTCTGAAGATTATCATTGGAATTAAGATGATGATTTCAGTGACTCTGTAATTACTTGAAGTAATATAGCTGTTGAACAATTTTTTCTTTAATGTTTGTTTATTGGTTCGTGGTTTTGTGAGAAAGATTTCACTGTTTCCCAGGCTGGCCTTAAATTTACCACGTAGCCCAAGCTGGCCTCACAGCATGTCTCTTACCTTAGTGTTCTGGATCCTGGAATCTTCACATTGTTTCAAGGGATTGTGCCACCTTTAGCTTATTTTTCTCAGCGTTTTTTGTACTTCACTGTACTTACCTTTTACTTCTTGGTTAGTGAATTTTTAAAATAGGCCAGGGTTATAGCCCAGGGGTAAATAACTTCCTTGCATGTCTAAGATCCTGTATTCAATCCCCAGAATGGTAAAAGATAAATACAGATTAAAAAAAACAACAAAGTTACTGGAACTTTTAAAAAGTGGTATTTCTTTCTTCCTTTCTTTTTTAAACAGAATCGTACTTTGCAACCCTGGCTAGCCTGGAACTTACTGTTACACCAGGCTAGCTTCAAACTCGTAGAGATGCTCCTGTCTCTGATTCTCAAATGCTGAGAGTGAAGGCATGCACCTCCACTGCAGGAGAAGAAAACTTTCCAGTGTTTTCAGGGGCCACTTTGAATGGGGTTGAGTTCTGAATTTCCTGCAGTTTTGTTCTTTGTGCACAGAGAAGACGTGGCTTTCGGTGTTTTACAATTGTGTTTTGTAGCCTGAGTTACTTTGTCATTGTACACATACTACACACATTTTTTTGAGCCCTTAATTTTTACTTAAAGTAACATAATTTGCTCTCTAAATGTGGACACTTTTTGTGTTCTCCTTTCTTTCTTTCTGTTTTTGTTTTTGTTTTTCGAGACAGGGTTTCTCTGTGTAGCTTTGCGCCTTTCCTGGAACTCGCTTTGTAGACCAGACTGGCCTTGAACTCACAGAGATCCGCCTGCCTCTGCCTCCCGAGTGCTGGGATTAAAGGCGTGTGCCACCACCGCCCTTTATGCATCTATTGTGGCATTCATATTGTTGTTTATAGTTCAATGTGTCAATGTGATGATTTAAACTTGTGAATTTCCATATATGGTGCATGTGCTATTGTGCGGTAGCCACAAGAGAAGGCTGCTTGGACATGGGCTTAAACCAACAGAAAGTCTTTATTATCTGGTCACAACTACACTGGGTGTTCAGGATCCCAGTGTAGCACCAAGACTTTCTCAGGGTGAGCTTTTAAGCACAAAAGCCATGTTCTGGGTTGACATACTTCAGTTAACAAAACAGCCAGAAACGGAACTACAGAAGCCAATAAGCAAGGTTAGTGCATTTAGAGACTTTCCCAGAACTATGGACTTGATGGAGTAGGCCTTTGTTTTAGTTTTGGTGATGCTGTGTGTGTGTGCTGCATTTTATGGCCTGAGTGGTACTTCCATCATAGAGTCAGTTGTACTGAGGACTGGGGGCCTGTTATCAGCATCCCTGCGATGAATCACACATGATCCTTTTTACTAATCTTTTTTCTTTTGTTTTTGTTGTCGTTGGTTTTGGGGGTGTTTGTTTGTTTGTGACAGTGTTTCTCAGTGTAGCCCTGGCTGTCCTGGAACCTGCTCTGTAGACCAGGCTGGCCTCAAACACAGAAATCCACCTGCTTCTGCCTCCCAAGTACTGGGATTAAGGAACATGCCACGACACTTGGCCATTTGTAATCTTTTTATGTGTTGTTTTTCTAGTTTTGTTGAGAATTTTTGCGCCTGTGTTCATTAGGAATACCACATCTGTAATTCGGTTGCTGTGTTCCTGGCTAGTTTGGAAAACATTGTGATGCCCATGTGCTAACACCTGAGAGCTTGGCTGTTCCTCCAGTGGCTCTTTGATGTGCAGCAGCGCCACTGCGCTGTCCTCTGGGAATATTTAGAATTCTGTTTGTCTTGGAGTTTTGACAGTCACTGTACTGTGACAGAGTCATGGTTGGTCAGATCTATGGCTTCCTTTGAGCTTCCTGGACCTGAATGTGCTCATCTGTCCCACCATATAAGTTTTTCACTGAAGTGATATTGTAATGTCTTTTCCTTTTTCTTCTAGAATATTCATAAGGCACTTTTTCCTTCTTTCTAATCAATGGGAGGGAGTTGGGAGCAGGTGGCATATTACATGCCATGTGTATATACATGGAGGTCGGAGGCTAAATGTAGATTTGGGTCCTTGTCCTCCATCTTGAGATGGTGTTTCTTGTTGTTTGGGGGCTGCATATGTCAGTCTAGGTGGCCTGTGAGCTTGCTGGGGAGTCTCTGTCTCCGTGTCCATCTCTCCATAGGGGCACTGGGATTACAGATGCATGTTCCACGTCTCCAGTTCTGTTTGTTGTGGTTGGGTTTTTTTGGTTTTGTTTTGTTTTGTTTGCTTAGTGCTATGTGTCTGAACTCAGATCCTCAGGCTTGCACAGCCCTTTAACCCACTGAATCATCTCCCCAGCCTCAGACATTGGCTTTCTCAGTCACTTTGGAATCTTTTCGAATTTGAGTCCCCGGCCTCTGTTCATCGCTTGATGAACAGAGTTCTTCTGTAAAGCTTTTGACTCATTCTCCCCCTCACACAAAATATATTGAATAAGCTTGTTATATAAAGTCAGACCAAATGCTTATCAATAATCCAAACTGACTTCTTGTTGTAGAATATTATTTTAAGATGTGTTACATTTGTTCATGCTGTGGAACATTTGTTTAATGATGCAAAGATGTGTTGCATTTGTTTAATTCCATGAAGTTGTGTTACTGTGCCTGTCTAAAACACCTGATTGGTCTAATAAAGAGCTGAACAGCCAATAGCCTGACGAGAGAAAGGATAGGTGGGGTCAGCAGGCAGAGAGAGTAAATAGGAGGAGAAATCTGGGAGAAAAAGATGGAGAGAAGGAGGAGGACTCCAGGGGCCAGCCACCAGCTCCATAGCAAGCCTCGGAGTAACAAGTAAAGAAAGGTATATACTATAAGGATAAAAGCCCAGAGGCAAACGTTTAATTTAAGTTAAGAAAAACCGGCTA